GGGGGGGTTGGGGGGGATGAGGGGGGGCTGAGGACGGGGCGTCGGAGGCCGCCGCGTGCGCGCGCGCGTGTGTGTGTGTGTGTACGAATGTGCGTGCGTGCGTGCGTGCGTGCGTGCGTGGGTGCGCGTGCGCGTGCGCGCGCGCGTCTCCCCTCCTCCTCCTCTCCTCCTCCTCTCTCGCTCTCGCCGCCTCTCGCCCGCCTGCAACGTCGTCTTGAGCGTGTCGAGAGGGGTGATCAAGATGCGCCAGAGCGATCCCGCCGCGGAGGCGCAGCCGGTCTTGACGGCGATCGGCACGTTGGCCCCCCACGCCATCGCCGCAAACAGCTCCATCATGCCCGTGTTTGCCGCCGTGTCGCCAAAGCGCGAGAGCGGCGTCTGGAAGATGGCAAACTGCACGCCCTGGTAGAAGCGGGCGATGCCGCCCTCGGCGTAGAGCGCCTTCATCGCGGTCAGCGTGCCCGAGCCGTAGCGGTACTGGTAGTTCATCGTCTGCGGCGCGCCGGTGCGCGCGGTGAGGCGGCGGGGCAGGTGGGAGGCGGGTCTGTCGGCCGTGCGTGCGTGGCGGGCGGGCGGCGGCGGGATCTGCGCGCTCAATATGGGGCGGCGGGGCGGCGGGGCGGCGGGGCGGCGGGGCGGCGGGGCGGCGGGGCGGCGGGGCGGCGGGGCGGCTGCGACAGAAGGGCGGCGGCGGTTGGTGGTGGTGGGGAAGGGCTCACCGTGCGCATCCACATCAGCGCCAGGACCTGAACCACGCCGGCGATGGCGCCAGAGAGGCCGCCGCCGATGGCCTTCTTGGCCGCCTTCTGCATGATCGGGTTGTTGACGATGGCCGGGCCGTACACGGCGCCGCCGCCGATGGCGATGGCCGCGATCGCGATGGCGACCGGCTTGGACACGATCGCCTTGTCAGACTCATCCGAGGCAGCGGCGAGGAGCGCCGGCGCGACGGCAGGGCGGACGGCCGGCGTGGTGCGAAGCGCAGGGCCCGGGGTCAAGGCGACGGCGGCCGAGAGGAAGAGGGCGACGGTCATGGGCGACGAGGCAGGGGGGCACCGCAAGATTAGCCGAGAGTCCGACGAGCTCAGCACGGCGCTCAAAAAAATGCGCAGCTCTGAACAGGAGCGAGTTCGCGCTGCGCTAGGCTCAGACGGCGTGTTCGCGCTGCGCTAGGCTCAGTACGGCGAGTTCGCGCTCTGCACCGCTAGCGGCTAGGCTCTCTTGCGGAGAATTTATCTCTCGGCTGCGACGTTGGCTCGCCAAAGTCTTTGTTCTCGATGGCGCTGGGTCCGCTGACTGGGGCGGGCGTGGGTGTGCGTGTTTTGTAGAGAAGCAAAAACGCACGTCGTCCGGGTTCTGTCGTGTGCGTCGAGCGTGCGGGCGGAGAGGCGAGGCTGAGCCTGTGGCGAGAGCTAAGACAGAGCAGTGCGAGAGTTACACACGACACACACGACACGACAGGGACACAGACACAGACACAGGGAACACTGCGCTCCCCTCAGCGGGTAGGGAGACGCGAACCCGACGGAGTCCGGTGGTGGGGGCCCACGCAGCCAGCCCCACCCAGGTTTTTGCAGAATTTCAGCATGGAGGCCGCCCAAGCAAAAACAATTCGTTTTTTGGCGCTTTTTACGAAGCTCCCCGCACATATCTAGATAGGGACGGTCGCACAACCACGTGCGCTCCACCACCACCACACCATCTCATGACACATTGCCCGGGCCCGTGTGCGCGACACAAAAGGTGAACGACGCGCACGAGAAGCTCCCTGGGGAGGTCGAGGAGGCGGGCGGGCGGCGGCGGTGTGCTTGGCGATTTCGCGGAGGACAAACACAATTTTTGTTTTTTTACTGGGCGCTTGTCGCGGCGGATTTTCTTATTTTTGAGAGGCTTGGCGGCAGAATTCTTATTTTTGGGCGGGCGGTTGTGAGCGCGCGAGCAATGCCGCGCGAGATCATCACGCTGCAAGTGGGCCAATGCGGCAACCAGATCGGGATGGAGTTCTGGAAGCAGCTGTGCCTCGAGCACGGCATCTCCATGGATGGCCGGCTCGAGGACTTTGCCACTCAGGCGCCGAGCAAGCGCCCGCACGCAGCAGCAGAGCAGCGGATCCAGCGGGTGAGCGCACTGCGCACGGGCGCTGAGGCCATTCCGACCTTGCCCGCCCATCCCAGGGAGGTGATCGCAAGGACGTCTTCTTCTACCAGGCCGACGATGAGCAGTGCGCGCGCCGCCGCCGCCTCCGCCACTGCCTCCCTCCCGCGCCTGCCTCCTCCCCTCCTCGAGCGCCCCCCGCCCATTCATCCTGCCCCGGCGCCGCGACCCGCCCGCACGGCGATCGCACACGCAGCCACCACGAACGGCGCAACGCTCCCTCCGGGTCGTTCTCGCCTCCGACCCGCCTCGCGTGTGTTTCTTCCGCGGCTTAGGTACATCCCTCGGTCGCTGCTGATCGACCTCGAGCCGCGCGTGCTCTCGCACGTGCAGCAGACGCTGCCGCGCCTCTTCAACCAAGAGAACATCTTCTCTCACCCTGAAGGAGGCGGCGCCGGCAACAACTGGGTGAGTTGCGGCTCCACCGCCGCCTCCACCGCCGCCTCCTCGCCGCCGCCTCCACCGCCGCCTCCACCGCCGCCTCCTCGCCGCCGCCTCCACCGCCGCCTCCACCGCCGCCTCCTCGCCGCCGCCTCCACCGCCGCCTCCTCGCCGCCGCCTCCTCGCCGCCGCCTCCACCGCCGCCTCCTCGCCGCCGCCTCCTCGCCGCCGCCTCCACCGCCGCCTCCTCGCCGCCGCCTCCACCGCCGCCTCCACCGCCGCCTCCTCGCCGCCGCCGCCTCCACCGCCGCCTCCTCGCCGCCGCCTCCACCGCCGCCGCCTCGCCGCCGCCTCCACCGCCACCACCTCGCCGCCGTCTCCACCGCCGCCTCCTCGCCGCCGCCTCCACCGCCACCACCTCGCCGCCACCACCTCGCCGCCGCCTCCACCGCCACCACCTCGCTCCACCGCCACCACCTCGCCGCCGTCTCCACCGCCGCCTCCTCGCCGCCGCCTCCACCGCCACCACCTCGCTCCACCGCCACCACCTCGCCGCCGCCTCCACCGCCGCCCCTCCGCCGCCGCCCCGCAGGCGGCGGGCTACACGATTGGCGGGTCGGTGCAGGAGGAGATCCTCGAGATGATCGACCGGTGACTCCTCCGAGAGCCTTCCGAGAGCCTTCCGAGAGCCTTCCGAGAGCCTTCCGAGACCCTTCCGAGAGCCTTCCGAGAGCCTTCCGAGAGCCTTCCGAGACCCTTCCGAGAGCCTTCCGAGAGCCTTCCGAGAGCCTTCCGAGAGCCTTCCGAGAGCCTTCCCAGACTCATTTGCGAACGTGCCTCTGAGAAACGCGGCGCGCACACCCCAGAGCAGCGAGGCAGGCACCTCCGAGGCACCTCCGAGACACCTCAGAGGCACCTCCGAGACACCTCCGAGGCACCTCCGAGACACCTCCGAGGCACCTCCGAGGCACCTCCGAGACACCTCCGAGACCCGCCCCCCCCGCCCCCCGCCCCCCAACGCCGCAGCGAGGCGGACGGGTCCGAGTCCCTCGAAGGCTTCATGATGTGCCACTCTATCGCCGGCGGCACCGGCTCCGGCCTCGGCTCCTTCCTGCTCGAGCGGCTCAACGACCACTTCCCGAAGAAGCTCATCCAGACGTACTCCGTCTTCCCTAACCAGTCCACCGACGCGTCCGACGTCGTCGTGCAGCCGTACAACTCCCTGCTCACACTGAAGCGGCTCACCCTCAACGCCGACGCGGTGGTCGTCCTCGACAACACGGCGCTGAACCGCATCGCGACAGAGCGGCTGCACGTGCCAAACCCGTCCGTCGAGCAGATCAACCAGCTCGTGTCCACGGTGATGGCTGCGTCGACCAACACGCTGCGCTTCCCGGGCTACATGAACAACGACATGATCGGCCTCGTCTCGTCCCTTATCCCCACGCCCCGCCTCCACTTTCTGATGACTGGCTACACGCCGCTCTCCTTCGACCACCTCGGGGGCGAGGCCAACCCGCTCGCGGTGCGCAAGACGTCGGTGATGGACGTGATGCGCCGGCTGCTGCAGACCAAGAACATCATGGTGTCGTGCTCGACGCGCAAGGACCGCGGCTGCTACATCTCCATCCTCGACATCATCCAGGGCGAGGTGGACCCAACACAGGTGCACAAGTCGCTGCAACGCATCCGCGAGCGGCAGCTGTGTTCCTTCATCCCTTGGGGGCCGGCAAGCATACAGGTCGCCCTCTCGCGCCGCTCGCCGTACGTCAAGTCGCCGCACCGCGTCTCGGGACTGATGCTCGCCAACCACACGTCGATCCGCGACCTGTTTGCGCGGATCGCGCAGCAGTACGACAAGCTGCGCAAGCGCGACGCCTTCCTCGACAACTACCGCAAGCTGCCCATCTTCGCCGACGACCTCTCGGAGTTTGACGAGTCGCGGGACGTGCTGCACGAGCTGATTGAGGAGTACCGCGCGTCCGAGTCGCCCGACTACGTCAACTGGGGCATCGAGCGCACGCCGGGCGAGCCGGACCCCGGCGCCTTCCAGGAGCGCAAAGCAGGCGAGGCGGCGGTGGTGGGGCAGGGATGAGCGCGCAGCGGTCGACCCATGTCCCTCTCCGGCGCGCAGTGCCAGTGGCGCGCGGCTCCTATCTATACATCTAGTTTGTGCTTGTATGTGTGTAAGTGACTGACATGCCTTGTGGGCTCAACACCCCGTTTACATGCGCAGCGCCGCCGAAGCGCAAAAAAACACCACCGACGCGAGAGCGGCGCGCGCACCCGCGCCGACATGCACACTCTCGCAGCCTCTCTCGAGTGGGAGTGGGTGGCCCGCTCATGCCATATCGGATCGCAGACCACGATAATCGATGCACAAGCACATGAGCATGTGCATGTTCATGTGATTTTGGAGATTGCCCCACCACTCTCACACGACACATCTCCAAAACCCAATTTCCCGAAAACTTTGCCAAAAAAGCGGTTTCGCGCCGCGCGCTGGCCGCGCCCGGCGCCGGCTGAGCCCTGGCCTCGACACCTCGACACCAAACCTCGACACCAACTCGACACCTCGACACCCCATGCCAACTCGACCAACTCGACACCCCTCGACATCCCTCGACACCTCTCGCTGTCTGGTGTTAATGGACCCCCTTCCCCTCCCTCGCCACCGTCACCGTCACCATCCCCGTCGCTAGTACCGCCCTCCATCCCCGCCCCCCCGCCGCCCTTTGTTTCACACCGATCGTCTCTGCCATGTCCGCCGTCGCCGCCGTCCTGTCTGCTGCGCTCTGTGCTCCGTGGTACAGTCGCTTATTGTTGCTCAGGATTAGCTCACGCACCAGGGTTTGTGCCGTGTACGCACAAAAACGATAAACCGTATATGGACATGCGCCAAATAAACTCAAAAAGCCTCGTGACCACGAACGCGATCAACCCATGGTCCATTATGCTAGATAGAGAGGGCGTCTCGACAAGCGGGGTCCTATAAGCTATATAATCTCGACGCGAGACGCGCGGGCTCGCCCTAGCTACGCCCTGAGACGCGACTCGCGAGAGACGCGACGAGTTGTTTCTTCTTAGAATTTCTTGTTTGTAGCGTTTTGAGACGCGGCGCCTCGAGAGTCAGGGTCGAGAGTGGGGCTGGGCTCTGGGCTCTCTCTCGAGAGCGAGCCGGGCCCGCCACAACGACAAGCCCCGAAGGATACTTTTGCTGTAACGCAGATTCCGGACCAATCTCTCCTACTCCGCCGAGACACGGCTCTCAGTCTCTCAAGAGAGAGCCCTCAGTCATCGTCTACGATCACGTCCACCTCCACCACGCCGTCCTCTGAGGCGCCGCCCTCGCCGAACCAGCTCGACGACGCCGCGCCTTGCCGAGTGAAGACGCCGGTCGACGCGTCCCTGTCGTCGCTAAAGCTTGAGCCGCAGCTGAAGCAGGTGCCGCTCTGCCCTTTGAGCACCTGCACCGGCGCTCCGCATTCGGGGCACGCGCCCTCGATCAGATTGGAGGAGATGTACCACGAGATCAGCGGCCCAACCACGAGCGGCACGAGCGAGAGGAAGAGCAACCCGTTAAACAGCCACCCCAGGGCACCGCTGGCCACGAGCGAGACAAAGATTATTGGGCCGACGAGGCTGCTGAGCCCGCCGCCGCCGCCGCCGAAGCCTCCGCCGCTGAGGCGCATGCGCGGAGCCTCCTGGATCCTCGAGTGTGGCCGCTCGGCCTCCGCCTGCCCTGGCCGACTGATGTGGTGTGCGATCGAAGAGCGGAGTGGCGCCAGCGAGGAAGAACGGAGAGGCGCTGGGCACGGACGGAAGGCCTGCGCCGATGGCGCCGCTGCCAGCAGGGCGACAACGACGTTCGCCCAGCCAAGACAGCCTCGAGAAGAGGCGTGCATCGGGCTCGCGCTCGCCACGGGCAGCAAATCTGGACACAAATGAGAAACCAAATCCACATGTGAGGCGTCGTGACAGCTGACGACGAGATTACCACTGTAGTGTCGTCCTCCTCGGAGTCGTCTTCCCCGGCTTCCTTCCGTTCGGCTCCACGTTCAGTACGTTCAGCGTGTCTCACCCTCCATGCCGTGAACAGGCGCTTTATCCACCCTATATTCTTCTCTCTCTCCTCTGCCCGTGCCTTGGTCGTTGTTTCGCACCCATGTCTGTACGGCAATCGAGGCTGCCTTCCCCACTACCTGTAGTTCACTCGTCACCTCTCCTGCGAGCTCCTCTCTCTTCCTTTCGGGCAAGGAGGCAGGGAAGCTTCTGCTCCGAGACGGCCGCTCAGGACCGCAAAATGGTGTTCCTGAAGGTTGTGTTAGTCGGGCTGGCCAGTCCCCGCGGGGCCTGACGGTCCAATGTTTCCCTCAAGAGTACTTCTCCCCTACCCCACCCTTCCACTTTAGATGTGTCGGACCATAGGTGGGGCCAAAGTCGGTGGCTGCAACTAAACGACGGGCGGTCTTTTCTCCACATACTGAGCGGCAACTGCGCTGGGAACAAGGAAGAGGCGCGCCTCTTTATGCGGAAGCTTGACAAACACACAGCGAGGGCGACAGCAAGAGTCGAACGGGAGGCGCCTGACTCAAAAGACACCGCCACATTCCTGAGACGCGCGAGGGCAGCCTCCTTAAAGGCAATGGGCTCTAGATTCGGAGCGCTCGCCGAAGAGGAGTACGATAAATTAGCGCCCGTGATTGCCGGCACGCTGCCGGCACTCACGGACTCCATACCCGAAAGAAAGAGAGGGGAGCTCGCAGGAGAGGTGACGAGAGAACTACAGGAACAGGTAGTGGGGAAGGCAGCTTCGATCGCCATACTGACATGGATGCGAAACAACGACAAGACCAAGGCAAGGGCAGAGGAACGAGAGAAGAATATAGGGTGGATAAAGCGCCTGTTCACGGCATGGAGGGTGAGCCACGCCGAACGTACCGAGCGAAGAGCAGAACGGGAGGAAGCCGGGGAAGACGATCTCGAGGAGGACCCAGTGGTAATCCCGTCGTCAACTGTCACGATGCACCCAAAAGGGACCCCAGCGCCAGCATCAGCCGTGGAGGTACAAGTGTCCGAAGAGAGAGTGGACCTGAGCAATGATATGATTGGGCGGCAAATGATTGCGGTGGGCGTCAGAAGAGTCATCCTTGCGCGAGGAGAGCTCGATAAACTCGAGGGGCCAGGATATGCCGCGAGGAGGGCAGAGTTACGCCGAGAGGCGAGAGCAAGGGATCGGCAGGCAGCGGCGTCGTCACAGAATGAGGCAGAGGGGAGCGAAGCGACAGAGGTAGAAGCGACAAGAGAGAGAACGACGAGAGTGGGAAGACCGCGAGGGGTGGCATGAAGGTTGCAGCGAAAATCGGAGAGGGACTGCGAAGAGAGATAGGAAGAGACAGATGCCCAAGGGTGGGCGACGGCTAGCGCACCACACCCCCCTTCTTAAAATCCCTGTGTGGTGGCGGTGTACCGTCCGCTCGCCCACATCCCTAGTGACTTTCGCCTTCCCAGATCAATCAATCAAGTGACTGCACTCCAAGTGCTCCAAGTGGTCAACAGTGCGCCAAGTGCTCCGACGCACCTGCCCGCGGGTGAGTGATTGTGATTATGAGTCTCTCCAAAGATTGTATTCATGCACCCATGCTGCGATCAGGCAGGAGGCTATCATACACCTCTGCGTACAAGCACCTCGAGCAAAACACACGCCCGGCCGCGCGCAGGCATCTCACCTGCGAGCTGGCAGTTGCCAGTCGGGCCCTCTCCCTCTTGCCACAACCTGCTCCTTCGTGAGAGAGGCCTCGGAAGCCGACGTCTCGACCGCGATCTACTTCTTCGCTTCGATGATCTTTGGGTGTGCCTTGCGGTACTCGCGCTGCTCCTGCGCGTGCGCGGGGCGGGGAGCGGGGCGGTGAGGCGCGGGCGAAGGCACGCAGTGTCGCGAGCGGGGTAGAGCTGCCAAGCCAGTCTATGCTATGACTTTGGAAAGGAAGTTGGGGGGCTGGGTAGGGGTGGAGGAGGGGCGGGAGGAGGGGGAGATGGAGGAGGGGCGGGAGGAGGGGGAGGAGGAGGTGGTGATGGGTGGAGCGAGTCGGGGAAGAGGGAGCGGTGGATTTGACTCTCTTTCTGTCTCTGTCTGTCCGTCCGTCCGTCCGTCCGTCTGTCTGTCTGTCTGTCTGTCTGTCTGTCTGTCTGTCTCTCTCTCTCTGGGGAGGATGGAGGTTGGGACGGTGGGGTCGGCCAGGCGGCGGGGGAGCCAACCTTTGGAATGGCGGCCGGGTGCCTGTCCAGCTCGGGCGGCACCGGCTGCTTGCACGAGGTAAGCATGACCTTGAGGTCGTAGAGCACGTTCTCCTCGATGCCCTCGCCCGTGACGAAGGTTGTGGCGACGCCCTTGCGGCCGGCGCGGCCCGTGCGGCCGATGCGGTGCGTGTAGCTCTCGATGTCCTGCGTGCAGGGCGGCGACGCGTCTCTGCTGCGGGTGTGCTGCGGGTGTGCTGCGGGTGTGCTGCGGGTGTGCTGCGGGTGTGCTGCGGGTGTGCTGCGGGTGTGCTGTGGGTGTGCTGAGGGTGTGCTGTGGGTGTGCTGGGCGTGGAGGTGCGAGGTGCGAGAGCGAAAAGGCGCAGAGGTGCGTGGCGCGTGCGGAGAGCGGTGGAAGGTGCCTCGGAGGTGTCTCGGAGGCGGTCCCGGGTGTGTGAGTCGCGGGTGTGTGAGTCGCGGGTGTGTGAGTCGCGGGTGTGTGAGTCGCGGGTGTGTGAGTCGCGGGTGTGTGAGTCGCGGGTGTGTGAGTCGCGGGTGTGTCGAGGCCGCCTTCGGCATGTCGTAGTTGATGACGTGCTCGACGCCCTGGATGTCGATGCCGCGCCCCGCGATGTCGGTCGCCACCAGAATCTCAAACTCGCCCGACTTGAAGCCCTCGATCGCGAGCTCGCGCGTCGCCTGGGAAGGAAGTGATGAGCTGAAGAGCAGCCTGGCTCCGGCTGGACACATAGGCACACACACACACACACACACAAGGCTCCCCCGCCAGCTGGGCCGTCACACAGCCCGATAGAGAGGGGAAGAGCAGCCACAGGCCCGGACCGGACACTTGCGCGGTGCTGGGTGGGGACGCGGGACAAGGAGATGACGGCCACACTGGAGCGACACACACAGACACACAAACTCACAAGACACTCGCAATTGGTCCTTGGGTTCGGGGCCGGAGTGGCCCGGGATCCCCGCACCCCAAGGGAAGGTGAACCCTGGGAGATTGCAGGGAGAGTGCGATCTCGCGCGATCTCGCGCGTCGCCTGGTCCTTGCCCGAGTGGATAACGGCGGTCGGGTAGCCCATCTTGTCGAGCGAGCGAGAGAGCACGTCGCAGCCGCGCTTGCCTGCGGGTGCGGCAGGCGGACGGAGGGGCGGACGGGGGGGTCAGCGGCGGGGGGGAGGCGAGGGGAGCACGGAAGGGGGGGGGGGGGGGTGGCCCGGGCCGGGCCCCGGGGGGGGGGGGGGGGGGGGCCCGCTCGCCGTTGCAAAAGATGATGATGGGCGGCGGCGGCCCGTTTTGCAGCAGCTCAAGCAGCTTGTCCTTCTTCTTGTTCTCCTTGAGCATCTCGACGTGCTGCGTGATGTTGGCCTTGGAGGAGCTCTGGTCGCCGACGTACACAAAGGCGGGCTGCCGCAGGTAGTTCTTCGCGATCCGCTCCACCGACGGCGGCATCGTCGCCGAGAACATGTAGGTCTGCCGGGAGGGGTGGGGAGGGATGGGGAGATACGGGGAGGTGCGCCCATTCGCCGGGGCTCTGCTCCCAGAGACCTCGAGAGAGCGTGCGTGTGCCTCGACTCGCCAGGGGGCGGGAGGGACTGCCCTCCCCTACCCCACGGTACCCGAACCCACCCTCCCCTACCCCACGGTACCCGAACCCACCCTCCCCTACCCCACGGTACCCGAACCCACCACGGGGGCCGGAGGCACCTGCCGGTACTTAGTGTCGCCCGACAGGTCGATGAGCGCAGACTCGTCGTCGGGCTTGAGGTTGGAGGTGGGCATTGCCGCGAGCACGGCGTTCACCTGCGGCTCGAAGCCCATGTCGATCATCCGGTCCGCCTGTGAGCGGGCAGATATGGGGAGATATGGGGAGATATGGGGAGATATGGGGAGATGTGGGGAGATGTGGGGAGATCATCCGGTCCGCCTCGTCGAGCACCACGTAGTTGCACTGGTTGAGCACGAGGTACCGCCGGTCGAGCGCGTCGTTCAGCCGGCCCGGCGTCGCGACCATCACCTCCACGCCCTGGTTGGCGATGAAGCCCTGCTCCTCGATGGACATGCCGCCGACGATGGAGTAGACGCGGATCTTGAGCTCGCCGCAAAACTTGCGCGCCTCGTCCTCGATCTGCTGGACCAGCTCGCGCGTCGGCGCCATGATGAGCGCGAGTGGGCCGTCGGGCGCCGTCTCGCGCGTGATTGGCGGCTGGCGGAGGACGTAGACGAGCATCGGCAGCACGAAGGCGCACGTCTTGCCGGAGCCGGTCTTTGCGACGCCGATCACGTCCTTGACGGCGAGCCCGAGCGGGATAGCCATCATCTGGATGGCCGACGGCTTCTCGTACCCCGCCTTTCGGATGGCCGCGAGGATCTCCGGCGGTAGCCCAGACTCCCTCCAGAAGCGGAACGGCTTGATGACCTCTCCAGTGGCCGGGTGGCGCATGTTGCCCTTGGTCGCGATCTCGTTGTCCTCGCGGAAGATGCGCCACTGCCGCTCCGTCATACGGCTGATGTCCTCGATCTCCGAATAGTGCTTCGAGTTCTCGTACTTTGCGATCTTCTTGTCCATGTGTGTCTTCGAGTTCATCATGCGCAGCTTCTCCTCCAGGCTGCTCGACGCGCCTACGCCGCGGACGGCCTCGGCTGATCTCGGCTGCCTCTCGCCGCAAAGGGGTGGGGCACCTCCGAGAAAAGGGAAAGGGGGGGGGAGGAAGGGGGGGGGGGCGCACCCGCGACAATCTCCATCTCGCCCGACGGCCCGCCGCCGCCCGGGTACCCGCCCGGGTACCCGCCCGGGTACCCGCCCGGGTACCCGCCCGGGTACCCGCCCGGGTACCCGCCCGGGTACCCTCCCGGCGGCGGCGGCGGCGGCGGAAACGGCACGCCGCCAGCTGGCGGCAGCGGCGGCGGCGGCGGCGCGCCCCCGGGCAACGGCGGCGGCGGCGGCGGCGGTGCACCCCCCGGCGGCGCGAGGCTGCGGTGTCTCTGCGTCAGCGCCTCGTCGCGCCGCGAGAGCTGCTCGCGCCGGTCGATCCCGGCGCGCAACCCGCGCCTACGTAAAAAAGAAAGACGGCTCGCGCGGAGATGTCCGGGACGGCGCGTCGGCGAAAACAGAAAGAGCTGCTCGCCCGAAGAGGAGGAGCGCCTCGTGCTTCTTGTCGTAGAGCGGGTTGAGGTCGGCGGAGGTGTCCTCCTCCGCGCCCCAGTCGAAGGCGAAGCGGAACTTCTCGCTGATCTTTGCCGCCTTCTTCTTCTCCTTTTTGACGCCGAGGTAGGCATTCTTGATCTGCTGCAGCTCCTTCTCGCGCGCGATCTCCTCCTTGGTCTTGGCCTCCTCCTTCTTCTCCACCGCGCGCGTCGCCTGCGCCGTCCGCGACATCCGCTCCTGCTCGCGCTGCTCCCGGAGCGCGTCCCGCACCTTCTGCATGTACGCCTGCCGCTGCTCGCGCTCCGCCTCGTCCATGAGTGACTGCAGCTCCTTCTCCTCCGCCTCGACCGCCGCCCGCGACTCGTCCCGCTCCTTCTTGTTCATGAAGACGGGCTTGTCCCGCTCGCGCTCCTGCTGCTGCTGCGCCAGCTTCTCCTGCAGCGACATCGGCTCCGCCTTGCGGCGGTGCTCGCGCTGCCGCAGCGCCGCCAGCTCCTCCTCGTCCATCTCGTTCTCAAAGTCAGCGCTGATTGGCCCTGCGCTCGAGCTGGCGGCCATTGCGCACGAGCGACGTCGGGCCGTGTGGAGGCAGCTGCAGCACACGCGGTGGGAAGCGGCGCCCGGGCCAGGCAGTGAAAAAAGAAAAGAAAAACGCCGCGAAAAGAAGAAAAGATGCGCCGTGTCCAGTCGCCGCGCTGTGAGACACATATACACGTGGTGCATATGGCCGCCCACCGCATGAGCGCCCGCCTCTCGGGCGCTTCGCAAGAGCAGCTGCTCGCCTTCATCGACGAGCAGGCGCCTCTCTGGAGCGACGCCGCGGTGCGCGTGGCGGAGGAGCACGCCGCACGGCTCGTGGAGCAGCCCGAGTGGATCCTCTCCGAGGTCCTCCTCTCGCCGGACCTCGCCCCGCACATCCTCGCCCAGCTGCCGACCAAGGAGCACGCCGTCAAGGGGACGTGCCGCGCGTGGCGCCGCGGCTGGAAGGAGACGCTGACGAAGCGCGAGAGGCCGCGCCTGCTCGTGTTCGGCGGCAAAGACGGCAACGGACGCCTCATCAACTCGCTGGAGCGGTACGACCCGTCAACGAATGAGTGGGAGGAGGAGGCTGTGGCTCCAATGCCAACGGGGCGCAGGGGGGTGCGCATGGCGGTGCTCGATGGCAAGCTCTACGCGGCGGGCGGGCGTAGCGGCGGCGGCGGCTGGCTCAGCTCGGTCGAGCGGTACGACCCTGCGGTGGGTGCGTGGGAGGCGGTGGCGCCGATGGGGACGGCTCGGACTGGTCACGCCGCGGCGGTGCTCGACGGCAAGCTGTATGCTGTGGGCGGGCGTAGCGGCCTCGGCGGCGGCTGGCTCAGCTCGGTCGAGCGGTACGACCCGGCGCTAGATGCGTGGGAGGCAGTGGCGCCGATGGCGTTGGCGCGTGATTTGGTCGGCGTGGCTGTGCTCGACGGCAAGCTGTACGCTGTGGGCGGCGACAACAACGTAGGCGGTGACCTCAACTCGGTGGAACGGTTCGATCCGGCGGTGGATGCGTGGGAGGCGGTGGCGCCGATGGCGGTGCCTCGGAGGCTCGTTGATGTGGCGGTGCTCGACGGCAAGCTGTACGCTGTTGGCGGGTACAACGAAGGCGACCAAACCCTCAGCTCGGTGGAACGGTACGACCCGGCGGTGAATGCGTGGGAGGAGGTGGCGCCGATGGCGGAGGGGCGGGATACTCACGCTCTGGCTGTGCTCGACGGCAAGCTGTACGCTGTGGGCGGTGAGGACAGCGAGTCCATCCCACTCAGCTCGGTGGAGAGGTACGACCCGGCGACGAACGTGTGGGAGCCGGTGGCGGCGATGGCGTCGGTGCGCAGCCGGCCCGGCGTTGCGTTGCTGTAGCCCGCCTCTCCGATGGTCCCCCCCTCTCACTGAGGCCGACTGGTTTTGCACCTGTCACTGAGGCCATATCACCGCGTCTGAAGGCCAAGTATGCGGTGCGGTGTGTTCATGTGTGTGTCCCTTCGCTATTTTTCATTTCGAAGTCCCTTCGCTACTCAAAAAAAGAAACAGTACATGAAAGTCGGCGGCACAGGGTCTCCAAGCGCTGGAGTCGGCACCCCGGGTACACCATGTTGGCGCACGTCAATGCCGCCAAAATCCACCAGGAGAACGCGCTGAACGTGATGCATCTCGACATGCAGCAGCTAGACGCACGAAAGTTAGATGCTCAAACTCACACGCTAGTGGCGACGGTTCCGTATCTGAGACTCGCACCCGTCGGCAGGTCTTGTACACTCGCATGGACAACCTCACCATGCAGGCGACGATTGTGATCGGGTTTGCTCTCGCCATGTGGGGCGGCGAGACGCTCGTGCCGCTTGTGGAGGAGGAGAGCGAGGTGTGCGTCTACAAGTCCGTGGGTCACCGGCTCTTCGCCACCCTGTTCTTCCTCTCGGTCAGCGTGACGATGAGCCTCGCCCTCGCCGTGGTGGTGCTGACATCCCAGGTCAAGCAGCTGGCCCAGGAGGCGGCGCTGCTCGTGTCTACGCAGGCGGCGGTCGCGCGCTCGCGTGGGCACGTCCGCCACATGAACAACTGCTTCTCCGCCGCAACCTGCTCTTTCTACTGCTCGGCGATGCTGCTCGTCATCCTCTTTGTCGGGCTGCCCAAGTTTGTCAGGACCCACGCCGAGAAATTCGAGGCGTGCATCACACACACACACACACACACACACACACACACACACACACACACACACACACACACACACACACACACACACACACACACACACACACACACACACACACACACACACACACACACACACACACACACACACACACACACACATGCACATCGCACCGCTCACCCACGCGCACCGGGCCTTACACTTTTAGTGCCGTGTGGGGCTCCTGTCGTTAGACGTGGAGACGCGAGGGTCGCCTGGCCGCCTTGCCCGACCACCTCGTGTGTGTGGAGAAGTTCACCGGATCTCACCTTACCTTAGGCCTGCATCGATGTCGAGGATGCGGACAAGCTGGCCGCTGCAGACCAGTTTGGCATGGGCCTAGCGATCATGAACTCGACGGTCATGGTGAGCTTCGGCGTCCTCCTGTTTGTGTGCTACCGCCGCGTCTCGCGCGCCTACGAGCCGCGCATACTCCTGGACTGGCACCGCGAGTACCTGGTGGAGAGAGAGAGACAGGTGCTGCGCGCCCGCAGAGGGCCGCACCCGGGCGCGGACTGCGCGGAGGAGGAGGACTCCACGGGGTGAGCGCGTCAGTGCACACCCTCTGCCCGCTGGCGCGCGCGGCGCACACACAGCGGCCTCGATACGGCCGACGATGCGGGTGGGTCCGATTGCGATTGAGCACTCGGGCGCGTGTGGGTGTAGCTGCCGAGGCGGCTCCGCCACCAGGCGTCATCGCTCATCGGCCCTAGGAAGCAGCGCCGGCCTCTAGTCGCACGCGCTTGCGTTTTTGTTGTGCCTTCCGGGTGGGTGCCGGCCTCTACGCTGGTCGTTTGCCACCGTGGGCGCGCCGGCGTTGAGTGCCAAGCTTGTCACCCCGGCGTGGAGGCGATGCCAGTCTGTAGCCGTCTAAACTGTGCACTGTGCCCGGTACTTGATTTCTTTTGTTGCACAGGCGGCTCCCGTCGTGTACCTGTGTTCGTGCCAGTGCGCGCCAGTCATGTGCGCCACCATTTGTGCGTTTTTGTGTACGTTATAGTAGCCGCACCTGGAATTCTTTTGTGGTCCGGTGTCGTGCGTCCGAGAGAGTTTTGAAACAATGAAAGAAAGAAATTCAGTACGGCACACGCCGCCACCCCGCCACAGGGTTATTTTGTCGCGCCAGTGGTCCCGTGCCTACACAAGAAGGGGAGAAGGAAGAGGAGAGACGCCGGTGGTGACGAAGCAGAAACTAGCGCAGACGAGAGCAGGGCAGACCCGGGGACTGGGGAGCCGGAGCAGACGGCATCGATCGCCGAGGGAACGTTGGGAAGAGGCACGAGGAGGACGGCGACCTCGACCGACTATGGAGGACCCGTCGCCAGACGACGCAGGGCAGAAGACGGTGAGGCGGAGCAGACGCGCAGGGCGAGACGAGGGAGGGAGCAGGACTTTGCAGAGATCAGCAGGAGGATGTACGAAGAGATTAGGAGCAGCAGGGACCCGAGGGACCATGTGGAAGACGGCTAGTGCTAGTCCCCCATCGGGAGGACGACCCCGGCTAGTCGCCGACCACACCCACAAAGAACCCTGCACAAAGATCGCAAGGGCGGGGACCTGTTCTTTTTTACCCACCTCACAGTAGAGAGGTGTTTGTTTTTATTTATTTATTTTGTGCCTACACCGGGGTAGGGGGGGGGGGAAGTAATGTGAAACTGCAACGATGCATGCGTGCAGCACGAACGGCTGCGATTGAGCGGCGCGCGCCGCTGAGCGTTCAGGTCGAGCTCGGCGAGCTGAGCAAGATCATCCAGCGGCGCGACAGGTGAATCGCAAGCGTTGAGGAACGCGAGACAGATCGCGTTCCGCGTTTCAGTTTCACAAAAGGTGCCAACTGCCATGTCCGGCTGTCCTGGTCGTCGGCTGCAGCTCTCGCCTCGCTGGCGGCGCGGTCTAGTGCCGCGGCTTCCAGCTCTCCCGTGGGCTCGCGGCGGCTCGCCGCCGCCTTTCTGAACAATATGACCGGTCCGGGTTCGTCCCGGCGTGCCGCCAGTGCCGCTTCTTCGCCGAAACTTTCCTCAACATGTTTGCCTCGACTGCGCGGCAGAACCGGCCCCTCGCGGCTGAGAGGTGATGCGCCGGCACCGGGGCTACGGCGCGCGACCATTTCCAGACTCTTTCGAGCAACCTCAAAATTGGCCGATTTTGTGATCTCAACCCTGCTGCTCTCTGACCACGACCTCGCGGCCCGCTGCGCGGCTCTCCGAGCGCGAGAGGAGTCGTCTACGAGGCGGCGGCGAGCGCAGGCGGCGGCGGCGCGGCGGCGCGGCGGCGGATCGCGGTGCAGACAACGGCAGCGATCTGCGGCAGACACGCACACACGCCACCCTTGCACTATACCACTCACACCGCCGCCACACTCTCGGGGGCGGGCAGCGGCGGCGGAGGAGAAGCTACGGCGGGTGACAACGCGGAGACGGCGCTGAGGGAGCGGCGACCGCGGCGCGACGGGAGGCGGTGCAGCTGCGGCGGCTGCCGCCGCCTCGGCTCGACAGCAGCTGCATGGCTAAGCCTCCCCTCCCCTCCCCTCCTCCCCGCCCGCCCGCCCGCCGCCCCCCCGCCCCCTCCCCTCGCCCGCGCACTGGCCACCGCCCTTCCTCGGCTAGCGTATAGGTACCCTCGAGGGTGGAGGGGAAGACGTAGGGCGTGCTTGCGCGCCTTTCCTGAGGCCCCTCCACCCTCACTACTCGCTGCCTACTCGCTGCCTCGAGGGAGGAGGGGAAGAAGTAGGGTTGAGCTAGCCTCGCCTTCCAACCGAGGCCCCTCCCCGAAAGGGCAAGTATTAGACCCACGAAACCCGAGACCCCTCCCCACCGCCCCGATCCCCCCACCCCCTTGCTCCCCTCCCCCCCTCGGGAGGGCCGAACTGTGTGAGGCGCCCGTGGGGACCCCGCAATTCCCTTCCCCCCTCGGAGGGCCGGACTGAGGCGTCGAGGGCCCCGCTCTTTCCTTCGCATAGCGGCCACTCTTCGGATCGCTGGTCGAGCGACCCGGGGGATGCCCCGCGCGCCTGACCCAGGCGCGAAAACGAATCTGCGAGGCGTGGCCGCTCATGCGGCCCGATGGGGAGGAGCGGGGCGGACTACGGGGATCGGCTCCTTACACCGCCCTTCCCTGCAGCGAGCCCCCTCCAACCCACCCGCGTTAGGTCCCGGGGGACGCAGGGGTCAGCCCCGCGCGACCTGGGGAACTCCCCCCCCCCCCCCCACTGCTGACGCCGCAGGTACGTCCCGACGGCCTACGGGGGCAGCTCGACCCACGCCTTCGACCCCGCCACCTGCGGGCTGGCGTCGAGCGAGTGATGTGTCGCCGGGGTCCGCGGCGCGCAGCCCCTGGCCAGCACGCCAGTGCCGTCGGCGCCAGTGCGGCAGTGGCCAAGCGCGAGTGCCAGCGCCAGTGCCAGTCGCAGGCCTCCCCTCACCCTTGGTCTCTCTCCCCCGGTCTGTTCGATCAAATAAAAATCAGATGAGTGGGTGTTGCCGTATCGATGCCAAAAAACAGCCATCGAGAGAGAGAGACTTGCCATCGATCAAATAAAAAAGCCCCTCGGCCCTGGCCAGTGCCGTCTGCGCTAGTGCGGCAGTGGGAGCCGAGCGCGTGCCAGTCGCAGGCCTCCGCCCTCACTCTTGGTCACTCTCCCCCGGTCCTGTTAGATTATCGACACGGCAACGACTCACTTTTCGCCGCGTTTTTTCTTTCCTGACGCTGATTGAAAGTGCCCGTGATTTCCTTCTTGCCGTCATGCACGCCGTCATGCTCGACGCGACGCCCTCGAACGCCGCCGCTCGCCCGCCTGCTGGCCGCGGGGACCCGTTTTGTTCCTTCATGCGCGAGCCCTCGTCCGCGCCTGACCGCGCCCAGCAGCTGTTGTGGGCCGTCCTCCTGCTGCTCGGAGCGTGCAGCGTGCGGCTGTGCGAGTGGTGGCCGCCGCGCTTCGCTGGGCGGAGGAGCAAAGGGCGCCTCGTGCGGTGCCGGACGGCGTCGTGCCGCGGCGCGTGGCTTTTTCTCGTCGCGCAGCTCCCGCTCGCATGTGCACTGTCACCGTCGCCTCCTTCGCCGCCACCGCCCCGCGGCAGTACCTGCGAGACTGCCATGCCATTCGATGGGGCGGGTAACGCCGTCCTCTACACCGACATTGGTAACGCCTTCTTCTACACTGACATTGACTCAACTGCCCTCGGCCCGGGTCCAAGCGCGTATAGTTTGGGGCAGTGCGGAGGCACGGGATTCAAAGCGACCGGTAACGTCTACTGGCTGCGCCTCGTGCGCCCCTTTCCCAACGAGCTGTGCGCCCATAGCTTCGTCTCCTGGATTGGCTTGCAGATCGACTTGCATGAGTTTGAAACCGACCTGTCCATCTTCACGGGCAGCTGCGACGCGCTCAAGCAGGTTGCATGCGACGGCGGGAAGCTCAAGGAGGAGACGAGCGGATGCGCCTCCTACTACTCTCGCATCACAGGACTGCAGCTCACCGAATACGATCAGTACTGGGTGGTAGTTGGGGGTTGGCCGTCTGAGTGGCGTATGGATGAGGATGAGATCGCCGTCCGATTTGCGGTTGAATATCAAATACCATCGCCGCCGTCGCCGCCATCCTTGCCGTCACCGCCATCGCTGCCCCCCTCTCTGCCGTCGCCGCCGTCCTTGCCGCCGCCGCCATCGCTGCCGCCCTCTCCGCCCTCTCCGCCGCCTCCACCGCCGCTGGTCCCGCCGCCGCCGCTCGTCCCCGGCTTTGTCGCGGCGGCGAGCGCAGACGAACTTCGCTCCCTGATCGACGAGGCCAATCTCCGCTCCCGCAGCGTATCAATCTACCTGCCGCCCGGTGCGCACTTCAAGCTCGACAGCCAGATCTACTGCACCTCCATCATCAAGGTGACCGTCGCCAGCAGCGGCGAGGGCGCGACACTCGACGGCAAGGGGAAGACCCGACTCTTTAGCCTCGGGGGCCGCTGCAGCCTCACCCTGCGGGGGCTGACCCTCGTCAACGCAGCGGCGGACCGCTACGGCGGCGTTGTGTACGCTTCCCACGCAGGCGACGTCGAGATCATCGACTCGACCGTGCGGGACTGCCATGCTGACTTTGTGCGCCGCGTAGAGCTAGCCGCCGCCCTGCAGCGCCGTACGGCAGCGGTGCGTGAGATGGAGAGGGCCACGGCTGCCTCACCCCGCTCTCTCCTCGCAACCGCAGGCCGGCGGCGTCGTCTACGCGGAGTTCAGCGGTGCGGTCTCGCTGATCGGCTCGACCTTGAGGAACTGTTCTGCTGTCATCTTAGTGCGCCGCGTAGAGCTACAGCCGCCTGCCTATGCAGCGGGAGCGAGAGGTAGAGAGGGGCCAAGGCTGCCTCACCCCCCTCTTACCTCGAAACTGCAGACCGGCGGCGTCGTCACGGCGCTTGAGAGCGGTGCGGTTTCGCTAATCAAGTCGACCGTGACGGACTGCTCGGCTGGCACTGTGCGCCGCCTAGAGCTAGCCCTCGTGCTTGCATCCCCTCACAAGGCCTCTCGCGCCCCCCCCCTGGCAGGACGGCGGAGCGACATACACGTCGGGCAGCGACCTCATCGTGACAGACTCTTCCATCTCCGGCTGCAATGCCACGGATGGCGGTGCAGTGTACGTGCACTCCGGCTCAGCCAGCCTGGCCCGCTCCACTATCTCCAACTGCATCGCCTCATATTATGGCGGCGGCCTCTACTCGGCGGGCGGGAGCACCTCCCTGAGCGACGACGCCCTCATCAACGGTTGCTCTGCTCTGTCTGGTGGCGGCCTCTACTCGGCGGGCGGGAGCACATCCCTGAGCGACGGCACCCTCATCAGCGGCTGCTCTGCCGAAGAAGCGGGGCGCTCCATCTTCCTGCTCGCGGGCAGTGTCTCCTACACCCTCCCAGCCCCGGCCGGCCGCTGGCTGCCAAACGCGCGCTGCGAGGTGTACCGGGGGGCGTGCTCTTACCCCAAATGCGACGACGATGTGGAAACATGCAGGCAAGACGAAGCCTGCGACGAACTCGGGGTGTGTATGCAGACGGCTTGCCTCGAGCACCGCGAACATTGCGCGCTCACCCTCGACGTCAGAAGCGATTGGTACTGCCAGGCCCCGACCTTTGTGCAGCCCTGCAATTGGAACAACGAGACCGGCGGCGATCCCTCCCTCCTCGGCAAGAGCCTCTACCAGCTGCCGTTGCTGCCCGTCGATGAGGACTTCCCCTTCGCTTGCGCCGCCGGCCTCCTCGGCTCAGCCAGCCCCGATGAGCAGTCGAGCAGCATCTGCGCCGGCCGCTGTCCCGCAGGCTACCGATGCCCCACAGAGGCGACCTATGAGGCGCTGCCCTGCGATGCTGGCCATTACTGCCCGGAGGGGACGAGCGTGCCCCTTCCCTGCCCCGCCGGGTCGTACTCGAACGCAACCAACCTCACCGCCGCCTCGGAGTGCACGCGGTGCCCGGCCGGCCGGTACCAGCCGGAGCGCGGCCAATCTTCCTGCATCAGCTGTGCGACGGGCGGCTACTGTGACTCCGCGGAGACGTGCGGCGGTGGCTTCACGCCTTGCAGAGCGGGTACGTACAACGACCAGCAGGGCGGCAGCTCGCCGGCCGATTGCCAGCCGTGCCCCAATGGTACATTTAGCCCGACGACCGGCGCAAACAGCAACGAGACGTGCAGTAGCTGCCGTGCTGGGACGTTTGCCAACGAGGCCGGGCAGAGTGAGTGCACGCCCTGCCCCGGCGGCACGTACCAGGACGAGACCGGCAAGAGGGAGTGCAAGGCGTGTTTGCCGGGTCACTACTGCGCTGTTGGCGCGGCGGCGGCGCTTCCCTGCGTTTCCGGCACCTACGCGAACGCGACCGACCTCACCGCCGCGGGCGAGTGCACGGCCTGCCCGGCCGGCAGCGCCTGCTCCACAGGCAGCATCGAGCCGACGCCGTGCTCGCCTGGCACCTTTGCCGCAAACGAGAGTCAGCCCAAATGCGAGCCTTGCCCTCCCGGCACCTCGTCGAAGGCAGGCAGCTTCGCGTGCGACGAGTGCGAGGCTGGTAATTACGCCGCCAACGCCGGCCAGGGCCTTTGCGTCCCGTGCCCTCACCCCCTCAGCTCGGCCAACGGCAGCACTACCTGCTCGTTTTGCATGGACGAGTACTATCTGCAGACCTCGACCGACGTTCCGGACGACATCTTCAAATCCCCGACCAAGTACTGCAAGTCCTGCCCGACGAACGCTACCTGCCCGGACAATACCACACTCGCTTCCCTCGTCCTGCCGCGCGGCTTCTGGCGCGCGAGCCCCTCCTCCGCCGTGCTGACGGAGTGCCGCCGCTTTGGTGGCAATGACAGCGCCGGAGAGACGCGATGCGCCGGCAGCGAGCCGGTGGCGAGAGAGGCCTCTCGCCGCCGGAGGTTGGAGGAGGCGGGCTCCGACTATTGCGCCCCTGGCTTCGCCGGCCCCGAGTGCCAGCTCTGCGCCGCGGAGAAGCACTACCTCGTCGACGGCGACGAGTGCAAGGAGTGCGCTCCGCGCGGTGCGGCGGCTGCCCGCATCGTCGGCCTCGTCCTCGGCCTCTGCGTCGCGTGCGGCCTCGCGGCGTATTGCTACAGCATGACAGAGTGGCGGGAGAAGCGCTGCATCGGCCGTCTGCTCCGCCTCGCGGACCGTGCCGTCTACTGGTGCGTCGCGGTCGGCCTCACGGCCAAGACCAAGACACTGTTTGGCTTCTTCCAGGTTGTCACCGTCTTGTTCACCACCTACTCCACGCGTCTGCCTCCAGAGTACACGGGCTGGACCGACGCAGTAGCCGACGCCGTCTCCATCGACTGGTCGGGCTTTTTCTTGCCACAGCAGTGCCTCGGCTACGGCTTGCGGTTGCTCGCCATCGCCCTCTCGCCCGTCGCCCTCATTGCGCTGCTGATAATCGCGGGAGTATGTCTGCGGCTCCACCCCTGGCGCGCCGCCCCGGCTCCGCACGCGAGGCCGTGGTACGCGGAGGCGGCCCTCGGCCTCCTCGACCTCACGCCGGCCGGCCTCGTGCTCATCTTCTGTTTTGTGCCCTCCATCAGCGCCTCCATCTTCCGCGCGTGGAGTTGCCAGGCGCCTCCAGCTGAGGAATGCCATTGCATACACACCACCCTCAGTCCTCGCGGGTTGCTGCTGATAGGCCTACACCACCTCTCCGCCGAACAAGCCCCTGGAGCAGGTCTCCTACATGCGGCTGGACGCGAGCGTCGAGTGCGGCACCGAGGATCACAAGTCCATCACCGACCTCGCCATCGGCTTCATCGTCCTCTGGCCCGCCGGTTCGCTGGTCCTGTTCACGGCGCTCCTCGCCGCTTGCTACAAGCCGCTGCAGGCCAAGACGCCGACGGCGCTGACGCGAGCGACCGCCTTCCTTCACCGAGAGTACAAAACGACCTGGTACTGGTGGGAGGCGTTGGAGCTGGCCCGCAAGCTCGTGCTGACGGGCTTCGTGCTGCTGATCCCGGAGGAAAATGCCTTGCTTCGGCTCGTGGTGGCAACGCTCATATGCTCCTGCTACGTTGCTCTCGTCGCCGCCACCAAGCCGTACAAGCGCGTCGAGGATTCTGTCCTCGCCGTCGCAATGAGCCTCATCCTCCTCCTCCTCTTCCTCGGCGCCAATTGGACAACCATTTTCCTCCGCATCGTGGAGCGCTCCGGAACCGATGACGCGGCCGCCGTATTCGGCTTCAGCAAGCTTAATCCGATCGTCAGCACGATGATCATCCTGGCCGGCTTTGCGCTCTTGATCTCCCTCGCCGGCGCCGTCGTCGCCGCCCGCCGCACCGCCAAGGTCCCAACGATCCGCCTTGTCTCCACCAAGCAGCCGCCCGAACTCACCCTCGCGCGGGGCCTCGCGTGGCACCTCTTCCTCTCGCACATTTGGTGAATCACACAGCTGTGGAGGGAAGAAGAGGGTCCGAACCGCGGCGCATGAGGCACCCCCAACCCCGAATAGGTCGACTGGTCAGGACACCGTCGGAGTCATCAAGAGCGAGCTGCAGCTGCTGCTGCCAGGCATCAAAGTCTTTCTCGACGCGCGCACGCATGTTCATCGCGCCTCGTACAGGAAGACAGCGCCTCTGACTGCGCGTCCCGTACTCATAGGTCGATGATCTCAAAGACATCGGGGCGCTCGAGGAGTACATCCGGCGCACGCAAATGATCCTCTTCTTCCTCTCGCAGGGCTATTTCCGCTCACCGGCGCTCGCACGCCGCCCGGCCACGCCTCCCCAAAGCAGCGCGAGCCGCCGAGCCCCCCTCGACACTCCCCACGGCTCACCCTTCGCTTGTCCGTGCGCGCCACCAGAACTGCCTCCGAGAGATCCGCGCGTCGCTCGAGCAGAGCAAGCCGCTCGTCCTCGTGCAAGAAGCGGACCCGGCCAAGGGCGGCGGGACGCTGCAGGCGCTGCGCGGCGAATGCCCCGACGAACTGCAGTCGGACATCTTTGACCAGGGCCGGACGCAGACGACGTGGTATCGCATCGAGGAGTTCCAGCGCGTCTCGCTCAAGACCATCGTCGAGGCGCCGTTAGTCCGTACACCGCGCCCCTCTCTCTAGTATCTGAACGTTCCTATTTTGCACTATAGGCGGTGCTCCTCTGCTCGCCCGACTACGTGGGGCAGAACGCCCTCGGCCTCTACGTGCCGGGCGAGCCGCGCATCCACTCGTTCGCCCTTGCGAGGCCCGTGACGCTCTGGGCCTCGCCGGCCAACGCGGGCGCACTGGAGCTGGCCAGCGAGCTCGCCGCCGCCTTTGCCGGCCTCACCGTCTCCACGGCCGAGGACCGCGGCTCTGTTACAGCTTCTCACCGCCGCTCCAGTATCATGCGCCGCTCGACGCCGCGCCGTGCCGGCGACGCGACGCACATGCTGCTCTACCTCAACGAGGACACCTGGTCGGACGAGAGGCTGGCCGAGCAGGTCAGGCAGGCGCGCGAGGACAGGCTGCCGATCGTGATGGCGCACGAGAACGACCCCGACAAGGGCGGCGTGCCCTTCTCGCGCTTCTTTGAGACCACGCCGCAGGAGAGCGACTCTCTCAGAGGCGCGGCCATCCCGCCGTGTCCCATGCCCTCCACCTCTCCTTCCAATGCACCGCAGGAGCTCATCGCTAACGACCTCTACAAGGACCTGGCGAAATCGTGCTACCCGGGGCGCCACCACGAGGCGCGCGGCGGCGGTGGGCGTTCTCCGCGCCGGTTTCCCCCGCGTGACGCCCGCGAGCCCCTCCGTAGGTGTCGCTCGTGCTCTTGGCTAAGGGCCTCGGCGCGACTCCGGCCCGGGCAAGGGTGGACCTCCGCCGCTGGAAGAGCCTCGTCTGCCGCGCCGTTGGCGGCCTCTTCGAACGGACGGTCCGCGGCGGCGGCGGCGACGACGACGGTGGCGACGTCGGCCACGAGACATCGGCGGGGCAGCAATCCGTCTAGCTAGTGTCAGCGGTCTCGCGGTCCGTGTTCGGCCGTGCGGGTGGACTAAGGGAGTTGGTTAGGGTGCGCTTTGCCGTCCGCGTCTAGGGTGCGCTTTGCCGTCCGCGTCTGTGTCGAGCCTGTCTGCTGTGAGAGAGAGAGAGTTGTCCTTAAATTCTTGGCGGCTCCCGTTGTGCGTACCTGTGTGCCAGAAAACACGCCTGCGTGGATCGCGTCACACCAATCCTCGCTACCCAACGCGGCCAAAGGATATCCACCTCGAGAACCTCGAGACCACCCTCCCTAGTGTCTCCCTTTCTGCCTCCTCCTCCACGCAACGGAAGCACACACAGCACCACACGACCCCCGATGCTCTGATACAGGTGAAAGGCGGCGCTGTCTCTCAAGATGGAAGCAGGAAGCTTCCATCCCGGCGGTGGTTCGAATCCACGTGAGCCGAAGGTGAGGGGGAAGGTTTGCCTGAGATCTGAAGCTCACCCATTAAGGAAGTGAGGAACTGCTCGGCTCACCCCGATCATGCCGAACAAGCTCCTCTTGTAGCTCGATCGGTCACACCGCCATCGCCGTCGGGGAGAGGGGGGACGACACTGCCTTGGCAGCGTGCACCTCGATCCTGTACTGTGTTTGTTATGACCCCCCCCAATGAACACACCAGTGAGGGAGGGCGAGACGATCGAGGGGTCCCGTACCATGCGGAATCGACCCTATCCGGTGCTCAAGTGCTCAAGTGCACGCCACAAAGTCCGTCCATTCAAGTCCGTCCATTCGCCCGTTTGTGGTGTTCACTTCACTACTGACTACATGATGCATGGTTGACTTTGCGAGGCTCGCAGAGATTAAGAGGCTACTCAACGACGGTACGCTGACCCGGGAGGAGTTTGAGGCGCTCAAACGGAGTGAGTTGCAGACGGACGGCGGCACAAGCCGGGGCTCCGATCGGGGGTCAGACTGGGCCTTGGAACGCTCCGCCTCACCGGCCATTGGCGCCTGGAACCTCGAGCACGCCAACTCTTGCTGAGATGGGCGAGGTCTTCAGGAACGACCTCGGCGTTACGGGCACTAATGTGGTCGAGCTTGTTCAGGCGAGCTGCGCTGTGCTCGGAGTGTCGGTCAAGGGGAAGAGTCTCGCACAGCAGGCAACAGAGTGTTGGCGCATCCTGCAGTTCCCTGCTGGCGCGCTCCCAGCGAGCCCGGCGTCGGCAGGTGGCTGTGGCGATTCATCGCACGTGGGAGGCATGAAGACCACCGATCCGTGTGCTGCAGCTCCGCCAACAACTCACGACGCCCTGCACCAGCGCATTACCGAGAGGCTTTCACGTGCACGGGCGAGTGCTGCATCAGCCGCTTCTAGGAGATCATCGAGTCGTGTGGAACCGACCATCACGAAAGCAGCATCATCTGCGTCGTCGGGCTTTGCGGTGGACGAAGCAGCGGTGGCGACATCAAAGTCTGTCGTTGCAACTGACACAGCAGCTTCCCCGGCCGCAGTGGTTGTAGGCAAGCGGATTGCCTCCAGCGACCTGTTCCCCGATGCTGAGTCCGGGGTTGACAGTCAGTTTAAGCAGCAGTTCTTCAGCCGACGCTATCGGGTGATGACCCTTGCACTCTGTTTTCTGGTGACCGTGATAGCCTTCGGTATCGGCTTTGTGGCGATGATGATGACAGCAGTGCCTATTCATCCGCCACCACTGCCACCGCCACCGCTACCGCCGCCATCGCCACCACCGCCATGGTGGCACAGACCTCCGCCACCGTCGCCGCCACCATCGCCATCGTCGCCGCCACTGCCACCGCAAATGCCAACACCTGCCCTCAGCCACCAAGATCACGCCTCATCAAAAGCCGATCGCTGGTTGATCAAGCCGAGGTACTATTGGTATGCCGACCCATGCCATTGGATTCAACGAGGTGTGCCAATCGCCAGTGAGGTCGAATAAGAGTAAGAGTAGACAGGTCGGAACTGTCTCAGTCTGAACGTCTGGTGTACTGCATTGAAGACTACGTAGATATGGACCCCCCCCCTAATATGGTCTCGGGCCGGGGTGTCTACAGCTGTACGCCGTCGGGGGTGCCATACACGGCGGGAGAGAGAACAGCCGTCAAACGAAATTTCTTGACGGACGCTCCTCAGACGCTCGCAGGCAGCCAATTCTCGGTCAGCCGTTCCAGGATGCAGGAAAAAATATTTTCGTCGGTCTGAGGCGGCCCAGCGGACCCCAGCGGACCCGTTGGCACGGCCAGCGCGCGGGGGGCACCGGGGCGACCCCCCGTCCTCACTCGTGTCCTTCCTTTGGGTGTGAAAACGCGACCTCGCCGTCAGACGAGCAGTGCACTGTTAGACGGAGGCGCGCGAGCGCTCGGAGGCCGCCCGACACGACTCACCCATGCCTGCGTTGGGCCCGCGCAGCCGGAGTATTTTTCCGGTCCGATTTTCGGGGTGCTCTGTTCACGGCACGGAAAAACAAGCAGGTGAGAGGCTCGTCCTCCGACTCTCACGCCTGCAAGCCGACTGGGGCACCGGAAAATTATTCCGAGCCGGCGGTCCTCGCGTCCGACTGGGTGAGTGACTCCTGAGCCACCCCGATACCGCTCGGACCGCCTATCCGCGTCGGCGTCCATGCAGCCGGAGCAGTCGAAACGTGGGCGTCCGAGCGTCGCCTGTGCCAATTGCCGAGCTGCCAGACGGGCCTGCGACGGCAAGTTCGCCGACTGCGCCAAGTACGTGTCGCTACCCACGACCGCCTCCGACGCTGCCGGCCCGTCCCAGCCAGCCTCGCCACCTCCGAGCCGGCCTGTTCGCTCCAAGGTGAGCCCGGGCGGCTCGGAGCATCGCGGCGCTCCGATTGCCCTCGCCGCCGAGCCGGCTTACTCGCCCGAGGAGGAGATGCGCGACAGGACCGACCGACGCTACGATCTCAAGCAGCGGCGGACGTCGGAAGAGGCGGTGGTCGCAGTGGGAGAGCAGCTGGCCTCCGCGGGCTGGGCGGCCGATGCGGTCATCGAGGAGGATGGCAGGACGAGGAGCGGGCAGCTCGACTCCAAGCAGGCGGGCGGCCGGCTGATGGAGCTGCTCGTCGTCGCCTTCGCCTCCGTGTCGCCGGACGCGCCGCTGTCCCTCCAGCTGGAGCAGGCGGCTGGCAGTCTGGGCCAAGCGGCCGTTGCTCGAGCTCGCCGCCGACAAGGTGCCCGACTTGATGGCGTCCAAGCACTACGAGGGCGGCATGACGACGGCGGCGGTCGCCTCCAACAACGGCTTCTCATTCGCCCGCTCGCGCCTGGGCTGCTACTGCTCGCCGCCGCCGGGGGGGTCCTGCATCCACATCGGCTGGACCGGCCAGCTGAGCCTAGGCAAGGTCTGCCCGACGTCTTCGGGCGGCGGCGGGGGCGGCGGCGGCGGCGGTGGCGGCGGCGGTGGCGGTGGCGGCGGCGGGGGTGGCGGCGGCGGCCGCCGCCAAACGCGCCAGGCGACGGCGACGGCGGGGGCGGCGGCGGCGGCGGTGGCGAGGACGCCGCGCGAATACCGCAAGACCATCGGAAAGGGCACGGTGGTCTGCATGCCGGGCGACGAGGCGCACCTCTGCCCACCCCTCGCTCTGCGCGCCGCCCTATCCACTCACCCCTCCTCACCCCGGCCAGGACGACGAGACGGCCGACGGCGAGACGACGTGGTTCGCGACGGCGCGCGGCCCGGAGGAGAAGAACGAGTCGACGATCACGTGCGGCCCGACGACGCTGGTCAAGAACCACTACTCGGTGCCAGTCGAGTGGGTCAACTTGCACGAGCTCAACGACGAGTTTGCCATCTTCAAGGCTTGGCCGAGCGAGCAAAACCGCGTCGCCGCGACGCACCTGCTCGCCGTGCCAGAGCTCAAGTGGGCGAAGGAGGAGGGCGGCCTCTTCTACCTCGCCCGCAGCGAGTACGACCTCGCGTGCGGGCAGGTTTGAGGACGCATGCGAGTAGAGATAGGCTCAGGCGCATGACGTACGCAGCGGGTACACCGCGCGCGTGTATGTGTGTGTGTGTGTGTCCCTGTCTCTTATTTGTCTAAGGTCTGTCTCTGTTTGAGGTGGTCTCTCAGTGAGAGTCTATCTGAGGTGTCGCTCGGGTTGTTGCCTTAACTAGATAACCTCCCCATTTTCTTTAATAGCGGCTAGTTTGTCACAACGTGCCGCAAGACACGGCGCTTCCAATGAAGTAAGTCATTATCTTGGACGCATCCCTCGACGCGAAGTGGCGAAGAGCCATGCAGTCACCCGAATTGCTTGGTCCTCTCCTGCAAGTAGAACGAAACATTCTTGGAGCTTCCCCCTACATGCAGGAACGCATCTCATCCGTGGCGACGCGCTGAGCCACCGAGCCGTACTCGGCCGCGCCGCCGCGTCGAGGCACGGGTCCCCCGCCAAGCAGCGACGCCGAAGCGTCGACCGATAGAGCGCCACGCCCAGCAGTATGGGCGTCGACCGCTCTCTCGAGCGGCCGCGTGGCAGTGCGTGGCGCGGGCGCCACGGGCGGCAAGCGTGGAGCCGCTGGAAGAGCCGGTGCGAGCCGTGGACGGCAGACGCTCCCCACGTCGCCGAGAGAGGCTGCGGGAGAGGGCTCAGGAGGCCACCGGAGGCGCCGGGAGGCTCGGGAGGCGCTAAAAAGTGGCCCGGGCACCTCGCGCCACCCGTCTGGTGGGGCCAGGTGGGCTCAGGAATTAATCCAGGATTTCAAGGTGATCCACTACACCTGACCGAGAATTGGATGCAGGGCACTCCCCCGTACTCGCCCGCGTCACGCGCGTCTCTCCGCCCCCGGGCCATTCACTCTGTACTACTGCCGTATGCGCACTACCCATCTCCCCGGCGGGGCGCGGGTCCTACCCAGGGCCCCTCAAAAGCCGTAGCGAAGGCCGTAGCGCCCGGTCGAGCGCCCATCGCTCAGGTGCCACACCCGCAGCGCGCCGCCAGCGTATCCTCCTGCGGCGGCGGCGGCAGCGGCGGCGGCAGCGGCGGCGAGGGCGAGGGCGGCGGCGAGGGCGGCGGCGAGGGCAGCGGCGAGGGCAGCGGCGAGGGCAGCGGCGAGGCCGGAACGGCCGGCGGCGGCGCGGTCGCCGCCTCCTCCGGAGGCGTGCCGAACGCGCCAAAGAGGGGGGCGCGCCCGTTTTTGGCGCCGAGGCGCTCGCCGAGGGCGCGCCGCCGCCGGCCGCCGCACACGCTCGCGCAACTCACGTACTCGGCCGAGGGCGCGCCCATCATGGCGACCATCCAGCTCCCGCCCATCCACTCCTCGTGCGAGCAGGAGGCGCTCGTGATCCAGACGCAGCCCTCCAAGTCCTCCGGGAGGGCCGCGCGCCGGCGGCGGGTGGGATCGGGCCGGATGCAGTACTGGTTGTACTGGCACTCCAGCCATTCGACCGTCGAGTGCAGCTCGCACGGGCTCATCGGGGCCGGCTCCTCCTCGGGGCACTCGAGCACGGGCGCCGCTGCGGGCGGCTCAGACGTGACGCACATTTCTGCCGCGCCGCACGCGGGGCAGCAGTCGTACCTCCACTCGGCAGAGCCTTCCGGGCAGTACTTGAGGGTCTCGTCGTCGGGGACGAATTCGCTTGCGGGGACGCATAACGCGGACGCCGAGCCGAGCAGGCCGGCGAGCAGGCAGGCTGCGAGCCGATGCATCAACAAATGCTGCACGCAGTGCGATTTCGGTCGGTACCGGGGTTGTGCGTTTATGTGAACAGCGCCTTCCCTCCCTGGGACCCAGAGTTGCGTGACTCTGTGCGATTTCGGGCCCGGGGTTGTGCGTTTACAATTTCGGGCCGGGGTTGTGCGTTTACGTGAACAGCGCCTGTTTGGACAACGACCGTCTTCCGGATTCACACACTCATGTGTGTGTGATATGTGCGTACTCTCCTCCCTCCTTTGTGCGCTCGTCGCCTCCCCGCCCGAGGCTTGCAAGGCGCTCCGCGGCTTCTACGATGCCATCGGCGCGAAAGACAAATCGCCGTCCTTCACGGACAGGAGCTCGACCTGCTGCGCCTTTCTCGATGTGCGCTCTCGCCCTCGCCGCAGGCCGCTCCCCTGCCCTCACGGCCAGGCCCTTCGCGCGCAGGTGAGATGCACGCAGCCGGATGGCTCACCCAGCCCGCCCCTCGGCCAAAAAGAAGGGTGGAAAGCGGGCGCCATCCTGACCAAGATCAAATTCCGGGGCGGCACCGAGTTTGGCAGTAGCGGCACGCTGCCCGGCGCCCTGCTGCTACCGCTCGCCGGCACACTCGAGTCCCTCGACTTGGGCAAAAGTTCCGCCCACCGCTCGTTCTCGGGCACGCTGCCCGCGGAGCTGGCCCAGCTCACCGCGCTCCAAAAGCTGAGTCTCACCACCGGCAAGTTCAGCGGCACCATTCCGCACCAGCTCGGCCGGCTTCCCGCGCTGGAGAAGGTGACGCTCCTCTCCAAGCGCCTCTCGGGGACGGTCCCGGGCGAGCTGTGCCACAGGTCGGACGGCTCGCTCAGGAAACTGGTTCTCGACGACAACGTGAAGCTCTCGGGCGCGCGCGGCGCCGGCGGGAGGTCCGGGCTCGGCGGGTGGCCCAGGTGACGAGTGGTCCGGGGCCGTGTCCCGCATAGGAACGCTGCCGCCCGAGTGCTTCCTCTTGCCCACACTCGAGGCGCCGCTGCTCCTCACCGCCGCACTCGGCACCGCTGCACTCGGCTCCGCCGCCCTCGGCACCGCTGCACTCGGCTCTGCCGCCCTCGGCCGCAAACCATCTCCCGCGCTAGGATCTCCGCCGCCGCTCCTCCTTGCTCCACATGCTCTCCACAACGCCACGCCGCAGCCCAGACGCTAGGCCAGCGCGCCTCCCCCCCCTCCCGCCGCGCAGGAAATCTCCGCCAAGAAGACGCGCATCTCCGGCACGATGCCATCTCGGGCACGCTGCCAGGGGGGCGTCAACTCGTGCAGCGTCATGTCGCCTCCACCGCCGCCGCCCGTCGAGGACGCCTACGATCCCGCTGACAGCGTCGCCTCGTTTGACAGGCGCGGCGCGCATAGCCCCACTTCGAAGAGCCCCACTAGCCACATGCACAGCGCGGCACGCCTGCACCCACGCGCGGCACGCCCGCACCCACAAGCCGACCGCCGCCCGCGCCCGCCGGTGCAGCTGGAGCCTCCCGCAGGAGCTGGTGCTGTTCTTTGTGCTCGCCGCCGTCAGCGCGGCGCTGACGTGGTGGGTCGAGTTTGGGTGCGCCCGCGACACTGGCACAAGCGCGCCCCCCCGACCGACCGTGCGCCTGCCCTCATCCGCCCCCGCCCGCGCTCCGTCGGCTCTCTCGCCTCCTAGATCGCCGACGCCTCGCGCCTGTCTTGCCACGTCTTGCCCCACCCAAGACACTCGGCGCCCGACGCGATCCCGACGCGCCCGTTCTACGCCCCGTGCCGCGTGTCTCAAGACGACGCGTCCGTGACATGTCTGTGGCGCAGGTACGACGACGACGGCGAGGGGAGCGGCTTCGGCTCGAGGGTGGTCGGTGCCATCAACTCGACGGCGGCGGCGGCGCGTGCCGCGCGCATTCAGGGGCGCGCGAGAACGGAACCCGCCGTGGTGCGCGTCGAGCTCGGCGCTCCGAGCGCGGGCTCATCGCGGCCCGCCAACCCGTACATGGACTCGTCGCTCGACGACTCCGCCATCCTGAAGCGGAGCGCGGCGGCCGGCGCGGCGGCGGCCGCCCGCTTCAACGCGGAGGAGTGATTGTAGCGCACGGCAATCCGCCAACGCGTGGCCTAGTATCCTGTTTGCTTCTGCTGCTTCTGCGCACGGCCCGGGGGGGGCGGGGGGGCAACGGGCAATCGCCTTCGCCAACCCGCGTAGACTAAGAAAGAAAACTGATACAATCCAAGGGAGGGATGGGAGGACGGCACGCCGCCACCACACAGGGAGTTTAAGGAGAGGGGTGTGATGCGCTAGCCGTCGCCCACCCTTGGGCGTCCGCCTCTTCCTATCTCTCTTCGTTCGCACAGTCTCTCGCCGCTTCTCGCTGCAACCTTCATGCCACCTCGCGGTCTTCCCACTCTCGTCGTTCTCTCTCTTGTCGCTGCTTCCTCTGTCGCGTCGCTCTCCTCTGCCTCGTTCTGCGACGGCGCCGCCGCCTGCCAACCCGCGTAGCAGTAACTACTGTTTTTTTTTTCACGGCGTTCACGGCGGTCACCTGCGCTCCGGTCAATGCTAGACAAATGCCAGAGTCCGAGGTCAGGGTGAGCAGGCTGGCGTCGGGGCAGCTTGGCATCATCATCGACCAAGAAAACTTCGTCATTCGGCTGGACCCAAAGCAACAGTCATGCGGAGTGGCGGTCGGAGACAAAATTGTGGGTATCGACGGTGCGTGTGGATGCCTCAGCCCCGCAGCTGCCCGACACATGCGCCCTGGCCTCAGCGCCGCAGCTGCCCGACACTCGATCCTCGCCCCTCGACAGGTGTGCGGATTGGCCGTGGCCAGCGGGTCCGCGATGTGCTCACCAAGGACAAGGTCCGCACAACGCACATGATGCGCGTCTCGCACGACCGCCGCCCCAGCGCCCGAAAGTCCATCGCCAAGAACGAGTCGATACTGCGCAAGCTGTTTGGCTCAGGCTCGAGCACCGGGGCGGCTCCCGCGCCGAGCGCGCCGCTCACCGTCACCTTTGCCGCCGAACGGCTCGGCCTCACGTTGGACGATGACCCAGATGGTGGCGGCCGCGGCGTCATCGTGAGCGAGGTCGACGGAACCATCGGGCAGGGCGTGCCGCTGATGTCGGCGGTGCTGGCGCTCAACGACGAGGATGTGAGCCGCGCACGCACGCCCTCACCAGCGCCGCCGGCAGCGCCGCCGCCGCCGCCGCCGCCGCCGCCCCGTAGCCCCCCCCCCCCCCCCGCCCCTCTTCTCACATCGTTCTCTCTCTCTCTCACCCCACCCCCCCACGCGCGCCGGACGCAGGTTAGCAATCTCCCTCTCGAGGCTCTCATCCCCCTCCTCAAGGAGTGCGGTCGGCCGCTCAAGCTGACGGTGCGGCCGCCCGCCGGCCGGCCACCCGCGCAGGGCGCCCCCGAACCTAGCTCGGGGCACGGCTCCGTCGCCTCCCAGTCCTCAAAGACCTCCTTCTCTACGCTGACGCTGCAGCCGCCCGCCGCCGCCGCCGCCGCCGACGCCGCCGACGCCGCCGCCGCCGCCGACGCCGACGCCGCCGCCGCCGCCGCCGACGCCGCCGACTCCGCCGCCGACGCCGCCGCCGCCGCGGACGCCGCGGACTCTTCCGCGCCGGAGGAGAGGCAGCAGCCGCCTGGCGAGGTGGAGGGGCGTCAGAGGGCGGCCGAGGGGGCGGCGAAGGAGCTTCGCGAGGCAGGGGCGCAGGCCGTAGCGGCTGCCCAGGGGGCGGAGAAGGCGCTTCGCGAGTCAGGGGCGCAGGCGGTCTACTTGGAGGCGGCCGCCGCGTCGCGGAGGTCCGAGATGTGGGGAGATCGGGGAGATACGGGGAGATCCCCTCTAGGGTCCGAGATGCGGGGAGATGCGGGGAGATACGGGGAGATCTCCTCTAGGGTCCGAGATGCGGGGAGATGCGGGGAGATACGGGGAGATTTCCTGCACCTAGGCGGGCAGCGTCGCGGTGGCGCGACGTGGCGAGTCGCGCTGTCGCGCACGGTCGGCGAGCGGCGTCGGCGCAGGCGGCGGCGGAGCTGGAGGCGGCGCTCACGGCGCTCGACACGGCCAAGGAGGAGGCTCTTCTAGGAGCCTTCTACGAACCTTCTACGAACCTTCTAGGCGCTCGACACGGCCAAGGAGGAGTGGTGGCGTCCGCGCGCGATGAAGCAGGCCTTGCGCGCCCTCGGCCCCTCGCGGGCGTGTATCGAGGGGCCACCTCTCCGCACGTCTCGCCCCCTATCTCCCCAGATCTCGACTGTAGGCCTTGCGCCTCGCGGGCGTGGTCGAGGCTATCCCTCCCGAACGACCTCGCGCGGCCGTGAGCCGCGTCTCTTCACACCTGCAGCTGTGAACAGGCGGACATCCCGAACGACCGCGCCGACGCCGTCGCGCTGACGCGCGGCGTCGTAGAGGAATGGCGCCGTCGCAAGCACGGCTTTGTCGACGGCGCGCTGGTGGCGGCGGCGGGCGGCGGCGCCGCCGCCGCGCCGCCGGCGCGGGGGTGGGAGCCCTCCGAGACGGACTCGGAGATTGAGTCGCTCACCGCGTCCGTGGCGGGGCTCTCGGCGCTGTCGAGCGAGGGTAGCGTCCCGGAGGAGGAGGAGGGGGGGGCGGGGCGCGGGATCGAGCTGGTCATGCTGCCGCCCCAGTCGGACGCGTCGGGCCTCTCCTTCCGCACATTCCTCGGCGGGCTCGAGGAGGCGGGAGGCAGCGTCGATGAGGTTGTCGCAGAGGCGGTCTCGCAGTGGCAGGCGGCGCACGGCGTTGCCGCTGGCCCACATCTCCCCCACATCTCGCCACGCCTCGCCACATCTCCCCACATCTAGGCGGCGCACAGCACTGCCGCTGGCCCACATCTCCCCCACATCTCGCCACGCCTCGCCACATCTCCCCACATCTAGGCGGCGCACGGCGTTGCCGCTGGCCCACATCTCCCCCACATCTCGCCACGCCTCGCCACATCTCCCCACACATCTAGGCGGCGCACGGCATGCCGCTCTCGCACGCGCGGGTGGAGGTTGCCTTTCTGCAGGGAGGGACCCTCGTGCTGTGCGGCGGCGGCGGCGGCGGCGGCG